GGAGTGAGAATATTTAGCAAAAAACATCCCTCAAAGACCAGACTGCCGTTGCATTTTGGACCTGAGCAAACCCAGACAGCTTTCATTCTCTTCTCAATATTAGCTGTAAAGTGTGCAAGAATCTCAAAGCACTGTGTTAGCCCAAGAAACCTTTACAGTAAGAGGTATCTGGGCAACAGGCTTAAACGGGAATTACATCTACAATGAGGGAGATTTCTTACGGGTGTAAATCAGCCTGCTTCAGGGCTGTCTTAAATAACCCAGAGACCCTGGGCACGGTGCCTGAACGTATGTCATTCTCCACACGCGCTGAAGTGTAGTGAGGTCAGATTTACTGCATGTGCCAGAAAAGCAGTGCCTCATCCGCAGCTGGGCTCCCTGCGCACACCATGCAGAGCTGCTCTGTGCATAAGCAGCAAGCCAAATTAATTGGACTATTTGTGTGCACACAGAGTAACCCCATAGTGTGTATGCTGCAAGTCCAGTGCGTCTGGAGTTACACCCAGCACTCATCTATGGAATCCACCTCCCAGCTGTCCCAGGGCAGATCTGCTTCCGAGACAGGCTTACATCAATGTCAGTTTGTTCCAACTGTCTTTCTGTTGGTTTTCATTCACTGCTCATTGTTTTATCGCCCTTCTCACACATCATCTTTGTCCTCCTCTGTCCCTTTTATGCTGGCTCCATGGCATGGCAGGGAAATGCCAGGCATGCATCACCTCCTGAGCCACAGTGGAAACATCTGGAATTCCACACAGCTTTTATAGTGCATTAAGCTCACCAACAAGATTTTTTACCCAAAGAGTTGCGCTTTTTCTTCCACTAAGTCCAGCTGTGATATGTATCCAGTTCAGCCAAAGGAGCTTCCTGACAAAGTGCATTCCACAGCTTGCATTTGCTCGCCCAAGGAAACCACCCTTTGCTGTGTACATGGACGAGTTTTAATCCTGCTGTCCTGTGGCAGAGTGAGGTATTAGGCGATGTCCCTAATAAATGGTCCCATTTTTTGCAGAGCAAAAAGCACTGGGAAGTGAAAACTGCATTAGAAAACCCTTTCAGCCCTCCCAGGAAACCCTTTCTTTCTGTGGGAATAGTCATGCTCATAAAGGAAAGTTCTTGTTATTTAGGTTAATTAGTAGCTAATTGCTTTGCTCAGCAGTGGGAGCTGGGCTAGATCCTAGGCCAGGACATTGCTAGTTAAGCCCCAGTTGAGAGCTGTTAACCGAGAGTGAAACTCAAGTGTTTTAATGCAATACCACTGCAAGGGAAAACTGGTGCTCAGGCTGTTGAAGGGGTTGCCACATTTGCTTTGCCCGTGTGGGATCAGCATGACGTAAAGCTGTCATAAATGATTAGCATGCCCCTTCTACTTCTGAATAATCCTTAATAGCAATTTCTGTTCCCTTGAATGACCTCCAAAAATGAGCCTGGCAGATAGTCCAAAGAAAGTGGCCCCAAACACCTCTCCTTGGAAGCACTGTCCTCAGCAAATTAGGCACAGAGGCCTTTGGAATGGTATTCTCTCCAAATGTCTGCTGGTTTTATGGAGGCTAATGGTGTAACTGAGAAGCAATGTCTGCACTTCAGGTTGAATTCAGACATTTTCCGTGCAAGAAATAATTCCAGCTGCTTCACTTGCTTCCTCTTCCTGTAGATTCCTTCCCAATTGATGTATTTCATATAGTTTTTACAGATACTGGCACGGGTCAAACAGAATTCCTGACCAAAATCCAGACAGGAATTTATTTTAAAATAGTATCTGTCGTTCCTAGCCAGCTGCTGCTCATTTGGGGTAGCAGGGAAGGTGGCTTTAAATTTGTATTTTAGTTACACAAAGTTAGCTTAGGGGTTTTTGCATTTTAGAGTAACTAAAACGGAAATCCAGGTTAGCTGTCGTGTGTGGACCATTCCGATTAGTGGAAGCAGGAGAAGAGGGGTGGATGCATGGGAGTGAATGAAGTGCCGTGGACCAGTCTGTCTCTACAGGCAGCAGAATGTGTGCACAGGGCCCCTAGATGGGCTTTTCCTGCCTCCTTGGTGCAACAGGACATACACTGGAGGGTAGCAGAGTAAAATGTCTTCTGGGTCAGAACTTGACATTGTCTGTCTGCCCAAGAGCAGCTCTTGTTTCAGCAAAACTCTGAGGTTTGCTCGGGACTGGTGATAGAAGCTACAGTGGCCTTAGAGACTTCTTCCATAACTGCAAAAATACACTTCCTCCTGTCCGCAGCTTACAGCCTGCAGTTTACATTAACGGTGGGATCATTACATTTTTCACCTTCAGTTATGCAGACAGTCCCAAAATTGGCCTTCACACTCCGAAGCAATCCACATCCTTCATTTCTTTGGACAGTCAGTCTAGTGAGAATATTGTATTTTACATGTAATGGCCGTAGGAATATAATGGTCCAGCTGTACACACATACAGCTTATGCCTTAAAGAAATTCTGTAATACCTTTAAGAACAAATGATCAGCATGGCTGTTGCCTTTTTATGATGGCAAAAATCAGTAAAGAAGGAAAATGTGCCTTTTGTATAAGTCAGTATTTTAACACACGTGAAGATAGATAACAGCAAATCTCAGGCAGCAGCAGAGCTCTGTAAATTGGTGGGATGCTTCTGAGTACAAATGCTGTAACGATTCCAGTGTATAGTAGCTGTGCAAGACCTGCTCCTGCTTATTACGATTTACGGGAAGTACAGAAATGCATCATCGTGCTGGATCTTGAATATGTACAGCAGAAGAGGGAAATCTTTCCAGGACTGTCTTTTTGCGGCATGCTTGACTCTGTCTCCAACATGGCCTTGCATAGCGGTCCCTGGGTGTACGGAGTTCATTGCAGGCTCAGGTTTGCAAAATGTCAGGAACAGTAATCCTTCCTCGACCCGGGAAGTCAGGCTCTCCCCTCAGTTGTCCCTGGGGAAGGAAGCTAAAGCATTACTCTGGATTTGGGGGCAATATTTGGGTGAGAAGTTTTTCCTGACTGTGATGCAAAATGATACAAGTGCCTCAGCAGTCTTGCGTTCATGGAATTGTAGTGCTGCTTATCATCAGATTAGCAATACCCACTTCTCCTGCAAATGAGCTTCTTTATAGTCTAACTGGAAGGATGCAGGTGCTGAAAAGTGGCCGGTGATACACTATGCACCATTATTTCCTGTGTTGACAGTTGAGAAAATAATACCATAGCATAGAAGTTTAGTTTGAATTGTTTGCTGGGCTAAAAACAGTTAAAAAAAAAAAATAATCCAGCTGTTAGAAAAAAAATGTGTCGTTTGAGGTGGATGAACTTTAATTCTGGGAACTATTTTCTTGTCTGCGGATCATCTGCAGGAGTGGACTAGTGCTTTTGGTTTCCTTTGTATACAAATGTAGAACAAGCTGAGCAATTAAAAATTGGATACCAGCCCGTTTAAGGAAGATCACTGCATCTAGCTTTGCTCTTTGACCTCAGCAGCAGATTGACGTGACTGAAAATATACCTGTGCTGCACATCAAAGCCTACTAGACAAACAATAGGAATACTCTTTTCTCAAGTATCCGTGAAAAATACTTGCACATAATTTCTTGCTAAGATTGATCTCTGCCAGGAAACTGAAATAGTTGGTTACTGCTTTAAATAGTAATCGGGTTTGGTGACTGTCAGTTGAAACTCAACTTCATGTAGGGTTTCATTGCACAGAGGGTGCAGGGAGGAATACAGTGGGCTGTGTTACCTTACAGTGGCCTTAAGATAATAATTGATATTAGATGGTCTAAAGTTCTACAGTTCAGTCACCCATGGCACCCACCCCACAGCTTCCCGCTGCCCTGGAGAAGCCGACCTTCCCTAGGAGG